CGGTCGCCCCAGTTCAGCTCCGCTACGCATGCATGCACGCCTCCCGCTGCTCGAGTCTCTGCTGCGCATGCGCGGGGGGCCACGTGCCCATGCATGGGGGGTGGGGTGCGTGGGGGTTCTGCATGCATGTGCAGGGATGGGGCGCGTGCCGGGGGCCCGTGTGCACATGCGGGAGGCATGGTGCATGCGGGGAGGCGTGGCGCATACGCAGGGGCTGCACACGCATTGCATTTGGGGGGTTTTGGTGCCCATGCTTTGGGCACTCGGTCCAGAAAAGGAATAGGAGATATGCCTTAAAGGGGCAGAGATGCTTACCCTAACCCCAGGTGGCTCAGTGGCTAAGACGCTGAGCTTGTCGACCAGAAAGGCCGGCGGTTCAAATCCCTAGCACAGGTCTCCTGCGTGAGCAGGGGGTTGGACTAGATGACCTTCGAGGCCCCTTCCCACTCTGTTACTTCCCTTCCACTCTCCATGGATGTGTAAACTCGCCTGGATCCCCAAAACGCCACAAGTCCTGTCCCACCTGAATCCACTCGATACGGATCAAGAAAGATCTTTCTAAGCCCAGCCTGACCGCATTTCGGAATGTGTTTTAAAGGGATGTGTGTTGGTCTCATCCTCGGGGTATGTTGTGGCCTGTATGCGGCCTGTGCAGCTAGTAGCTGATTCCGACAGCGAGGAGGCTGGTGTGGTGCTGTGCCAGCAGCCTGTGCAGCTGGCGCTCGAGTCAGACAGTGAGGAGGCTGGAGAAGATGTGGTGCCAGAGGCCTTCAGAACCTCCAGAACCTCCCATAAGTGAAGAGGATGGAGAGGAGGAGCCTCTTCTCGATGCACGGGCGCGCAGAGCTGCCAAAAGGCAGGAGTGGCTCCTCAGGAGGAGGTCTCCTCGAGAGTAAGGCTTGGGGCTAATTGGCCACTCCCTTAGCCTATTTAAGGAGGAACGCTGACTGAAGCAATTTGCAGGGAACAACTTTGTTCACATACCTTCGTGTCTTGTCTTGCTTATCTTATCAGCTTCCTGCAAATTGCTTCTGGGTATTCTGCCAACCATAGTAAACTTTCAGTTATTATTCTCTGAATTCTTGGCGGCTGTTAATGCAGTTAATTAACAGCCGTTGTTGTAAAAAAAGTGGTTTATTTAGTAAACTAAGGTTTGAATGGACTTTGTGTGTGCTGCATTCTTTGGGGTCCGTAGCTGGGGCAGAACAGGGTAACCGAAAAGTTGGGAGACGGAGTAAGAGGGAAAAACCGTCTCTCTTTCCTTAAACGGCCATGAAGGAGGCCGGTGCCCATTCCTTACGGGAGAAAGTGGGTGTATTTCACTGCTGTGTTTATTCATTCTCCGTCCCAGCCCTGGACAGATTTTAATTAAATCGTCATTCGTTGGGTTGTTACTCTGCCTTGGACCTTTTCCAAGTGACAAGTGTTTGTTGGAAAAGCACCGCAAGGGGGTCATTTCCCTCTCCCCCCCCACCCCTCCTCTTCTCCCACCCCACCCCAGCGCTTGTTAAGTTTCGTCTTTCTGCAAATACCGCTAATTACGTTTGCTTGGCGGGCGTCCAACTTTCCCGATAACATCTTTTCATTAACACTGACCTCACCGGGCTCACAGGGTGCCGGTTGCAATTTCCAAAGTCTTGCCTTCATTCCGGAAGACTCTCCATTCTCACGGTTGACATTTATGCCACTGGCTAAGCCCGGAAAGCTGGGGGGGGGGAGGAGGGCATCTGGGGCTAAATCATCCGGTTGTCTGTTGGCAAAGTGCGCAACGGTGCTCTGGCCTGCAGTGAGTGAGAAAAGGCTGGAAACCGTTTCTGGACTTTGTGCTTGAGGTCGACAAAACAAAACAAAACGAAACTCTGATTTTGGGTTTTACCAATCAATAGGTCTGTTGTTATGCAAATGGTTAGTTCAGATAAAAGTCAAAAAAAGTTGAGGTTTGATGTAATTATCTTATTCTACTGCACCAAAGGGAGTCAGAAGTCAAGGCCTTTTCTTTCTTTTGTCCAGTGGTGGCTTGGCCCCGGTTCGGACCGGTTCACAAGAACCGGTAGTAAAACCAGCGGGAGGCTCCGCCCACCACCCCGGATGTTGTCATAGGCGATCTGCGCATGCGCAGAAGCTTGGCGCGCGTGTGAGCGAAGCGAGGGCATGTGCGCGCTCCCGTTGCAAACCAGTAGTAAAGGTAAGTAGAATCCACCCGTGTTTTTGTCCCTTTGCCCCACACTTTCCCCTTCCCTCTTTCCTCCCCTCTTTTCCTACTATTTTCTTTTATATTTTTGTATGACATATTATAAATACATACATACATACATGCATGCATGCATACATACATACTTATCCCCCCATCCAGGCTTCTTGGCTACTACAAGGTTACTACAGTGTTACTTTGAGGTTACTACAGAGTTACTAGGAGTAGTAGCGGCACTTGGGAAATGGTTCTGTAAACCCAGACACAGAAGAGGCACTCCATGTTACGATTAAAAGAAGGGTTAGGGTTATGTCTTGGTGGTGCCTACAGGCCTCACAAGCATTGAGCAAAAGTGCAATGAAAGCGCCGTTAAGTGAGTCATGCAGTTGTTAAATGAGTCCGGCTTCCCCCACTAATTTGGCTTGTTGGAAGCCAGCTGGGAAGGTCGCAAATGGTGAACTCATGAACCCAGGATGCTGCCACTGTCACAAATACATGCCAGTTAGCCAAGTGCCCGACGTTTGATCAGGTGACCGCGAGGATGCTGCGACCGTCGTAAGTGCGAGGACATCAATCGTAAGCCGGTGCCGCTGTTAACTTCGATCGGTCACTAAACGAAGGGTTGCAAGTCGAAGGCTTTGCCTGCATTCTTAACTATGTCTATTTGGGAGGGTCCTTGGTGCTCTCTGAGCTTGGCGGTTTTCTTGCCGACGTTTCATGACCCAACTAGGGAACATCATCATTCTATTCTATTCTATTCTATTCTATTCTATTCTATTCTATTCTATTCTATTCTATTCTATTCTATTCTATTCTATTCTGCTCTGTTCTATTCTATTCTATTCTATTCTGTTTTGTTCTGCATTCTGTTCTGTTCTGTTTTATTCTGCATCCTATTTTATTCTGTTCTGTTCTGCATTCGATTCTGTTCCATTCTGTTCCATTCCATTGTGCATTCTATTCTATTCTGTTCTGTTCTGTTCTGTTCTGTTCTGTTCTGTTCTGCTCTACTCTGCTCTGTTCTATTGTCATCCACAAGAAAACCACCCAGTTCAGAGAACACCACAGGCCCCTCATTTCAACCCTGAGCTACACATATTCTCCTTTACCGATACGTATATTTGCATGTGGAACTGAGCACACATATCTGTACTGGCACAGATTTAAAAAAAAAAGAAAAGAAAGAAGATGAATTATAAGAAGCCCAGGAATTCCACCACCGTTTATCTTAGGCTGAGTAAATCTGAATTAATTCAACTCTTGCTAAATTACCATTTTTAGCCATGATGCCAACTACCCACGGCTACCCAGCTTCTCGTCTCCAAGGCCCACAAAATCCTTTACTCCAGGCAGAGAAAATGCAGTCCTGAAATCTAATTAGAAGGCTGCAAGAAGACAGGGGACGTACTTTGGTGCGAACCCTAAAAGCAGGGGTGAAATCCAGCAGGTTCTGACAGGTTCTGGAGAACCGGTAGCGGAAATTTTGAGTAGTTCGGAGAACCGGCAAATATCACCTCTGGCTGGCCCCAGAGTGGGGTGGGAATGGAGATTTTGCAATAACCTTCCCCAGGAGTGGAGAGGAATGGGGATTTTGCAATATCCTTTTCCCAGGAGTGGGGAGAAATGGGGATTTTGCAATATCCTTTTCCCAGGAGTGGGGAGGAATGGGGGATTTTGCAATATCCTTTTCCCAGGAGTGGGGAGGAATGGGGATTTTGCAATATCCTTTTCCCAGGAATGGGGAGGGAATGGGGATTTTGCAGTATACTTCCTCTGGAGTGGGGTGGGAATGGGGATTTTGCAATATCCTTCCCCCAGGAGTGGGGAGGGAATGGGGATTTTGCAATATCCTTCCTCCAGGAGTGGGGAGGAAATGGGGATTTTGTAGTATCCTTACCCAGGAGTGGGGAGGGAATAGGGATTTTGCAGTATCCTTCCTCTGGAGTGGAGTGGGAATGGAGATTTTGCCCCTGGAGTGGGGAGGAAATGAGGATTTTGTAGTATCCTTTCCCCAGGAGTGGGGTGGGAATGGGGATTTTGCAATATCCTTCCCCAGGAGTGGGGAGGGAATGGGGATTTTGCAATATCCTTCCTCCAGGAGTGGGGAGGAAATGAGGATTTTGTAGTATCCTTTCCCCAGGAGTGGGGTGGGAATGGGGATTTTGCCCCGGGAGTGGGGAGGAAATGGGGATTTTGTAGTATCCTTTCCCCAGGAGCGGGGTGGGAATGGGGATTTTGCAATATCCTTCGCCTGGAGTGGGGAGGGAATGGAGATTTTGCAATATCCTTCCCCTGGCACGCCCACCAAGCCACGCCCACCAAGCTACACCAAGCCCAACAAGACACGCTCACAGAACCACAGGTAGTAAAAAAAAATGTAGATTTCACCACTGCCTAAAAGGGCTCCACCGAACGATGACAGTGTCATCTAGCTGGGCCCCGTCTCCCGCCAGCGTGGCTTTCGGCGGCACGCGTGAATGTGGGAACCGCTGCTGAATTCTGGTTTATCCAGCGCGGGCAGGGCAGTTCAGCATCTTGGCTTGGTCTAAGTCTATAAACCTCTCTTAAAAACAAACAGATCTTGAAAGGAAATGGCATCCATTTCGAATGGAGGTTTCCGGATGAGTAATCGTTGATACTCGGAGGCAAATGCAGGCAGAAGACAGTGGGTGTAGAGCTTATTAATGATTATGGCAGGTTATGTGTCTTAATTATCCAATTTCACTCTCTTATGGTAATAGAGGAAGGAAGGGCAGAGAGGGCGCGGAAAAAAATAAAAACAAAAAGCAGATGAACACAGAGGAGGCAGTGTTTTTAAGGGTTTGTTTCGTTGTTTGCTTTGCGGTGGCTTACTTTATTTGCACAGTCAACCCCTGAAAAATGACCCATACATTATTTAGTAGCATTAAGGCTCGACAATTTGTTGTGGTTTGACATCGGGGCGGTTAGGGCTCCCTTTGTTTTGACGTCATGGAATGCTTGTCACAGGCAAGTCCTCGACTTACGGCCGCGATGGGGAGGAGAACATCCATCGCTAAGCAATGCGGCCATTTAAATCAGTCGCACCTGTTTGTTCGGTTTTGTTTTGTTTTTTTGCCACGGTCGTTAAGCAAATCACACGGCCGTTTCAGCAAATCCGGCTCCTCCCCAGGACTTTGCTTCCCGGGAAGCCGTTCCCGGGAAGATTGCAAATGGTGTGATTCCGCAACCGTCATAAATACAGGCTGAGCGCCCAAATGTTGATCAGGGGATGCTGCCGCCATTTCAACAGTCATTAAACCGACGGTTGTAAGTTGAGGGCTACCTGTAACCGTCAACCGACCTAAGAGAGAAACTGCCAGCGACGGAATGGACGCCAGCCAAACACTGAAGATTTTTGTGAAAGGAAGTGAGGGGTTCGTAAGTCCAGGATGAGGGTCAGATCTACCATCTTCAGCTTTGCGTTTTGCATCCTGTCATAGATCGTTGGGGTGGAGGAAGAGGAAGGGGGCAATTGGCATGTGGAGAGTAGAAATGAGAAGTGGGGTGTGTGTGTGTGTGACAGGCTTGACGGAAATCAGAGGTCTGAGGACCAGCCTATTCCAGTCTTCAAGGACGCCTAGCCTGGGAAAAGGATGCGAACTGCACCAAACATCCAAGCTGTTTCCCAAAACACCTACATGGCACACCATTGGACAGAGACAGGCTTGTCAAGGGGGAAGGTCTGGGGAGAAGGGGAAAAATCTGTAATGCTTTGCGCGGGAACCCTTAGATCTAGCCTTCCTTTTGCTGCAACCACTTAGTAAAAGAACCCATTACGTTACTCCAATGGAGCAACGGTCTTTCTGTCCTAAGGAGGAGAGCTGGAGCAGGCCTACAAGGAGATGAGAGGATTGGCAAAGGGGTAGGAAGGAGGAGAAACAGCAACAGCAATACACTTTGAAGGCACAAAGTTCTTCTACAAAAGTATAAAAAGGAGATTTAAAAAGTTCACGGGAGAAAAGAAAGGATTGTAATTTGTAAAAATCTAGAGGCACTCCATACCTCCTGTTAACAATTGCCAGAAATGTCACATGGAGAAATACTATTGGGATTGGTGTCTGGAGGATGGGCTTCCTAGAGGACCTTCACTGGTAGATCACAGGTTGTTCTGCTCTGAACTAGGCGGATCTGTATTCCCCTACTCCTATCCCAAGGCAGTGGGTCAACCACTAAGATCTAAAGATGAATCCCAACTGGAGATCACAGAAGGACTACTTGATCTTAAACTCATAGACCAGCAGGAGATAATATGGTACGGAGGACCACCATCCTGGTTTATACAGAATTGGCTTAAATTTGCACTCACTCCTGAATAGCAATAGCACTAATGCTTAGACTTATATACCGCTGCACAGTGCTTTTACAGCCTTCTCTAAGCGGTTTACAGAATCAGCCTCTCGCCCCCAACAATCTGGATCCTCATTTTACCCACCTCGGAAGGATGGAAGGCTGAGTCAACCTTGAGCCTGGTGAGATTCGATCTGACAAATTGCAGGCAGCCGGTGATCAGTAGGAGGAGCCTGCAGTACTGCGCTCTAACCACTGCGCCACCGCGGCTCATTGAGAATGCTCTCTGGGACCTCAAAAGTCTATGGTTAATTTGTATGCAAATGTACAAAGATTTAAGTTGGTCTAGAAGACCTCCAACTCTGCTCTTCTGTTAAATATCTTGGTAGAAAGAGACAGGCCCACTCTGCCTACAGTGCTAGTTTCTTTGATGGGCTGGGAGAGAAACGAGAAGATCATCATCGTCCTTGGAAGTAGGTTTGTTCTGTTGTTCCAAAGGTAGCTTCTACAGGGCCCCTCAAACCCTTGTTTGAGATGTTTTGTACCCTTCAGGCAAGATGAGAGTAACTGGGATAAGGGTTCCTCTTGGGGAAGGGAAATTTTTCACCTCTTTGTTTCCGAACCGTGGAGACACCAAGTCAGCCAAGAAACGGAGGTTGAACTGCCGGCTGACGCAGTAGACAAGATTTCCAACCACGGCGCACTGGAAGCAAGATGGGAAGGGAATTGGGTGGGTGGCACACTCATACCATAGCTTGGCCCTGGCACTACAGCGATAGACGCTGATGCCCATCCTCTGGTTGAGGTCAAAGCGGTAGATGAAGCCGTTGACGGTCACCATCTCGGTTGTCCTGTCCTGGCTTCCTCCAGTGAGGCGGACTTTCCAGGTGTCCGTCCGTCCGACGTACCTGAGCAGCATGTATCTCAAGGTGCCGCCCGTCACACAGATCTCCCCGTCGCAGACGGTGGCAGTGTGGGCCACGGCAAAGGTGTCGTTGGGTAGAGGGGCAGCAAACGTCCATCGATCCAGACGTGGGTCGTATCGTTCGACTGTGTAGAGGCATTCTCCACCGATGGCGTAGAGGCAACCATCCAGGGCCACCAGCTTACAGTGGGGTCTAGCTTGGTTGAGTGGACAGATCTCCTGCCAGATGTCGGTCAAGGGGTTGTAGCAGAAGACACGATTGGATGGTTTCTGATACCTTCCACGCCCTTCGCAGCCAGCTACTACAAAGAGGTAGTTGAACATGCTGCAGATGGCGCAACCCCTGGAAATTGCTTCCACAGGGATGTGGGTTAATGGATGCCAAGCGTCCTTCTGATCATCGTAGTAAGAGAGTCCACTTGTGTGGCAACCAACATCTGCCACAGTCAAGTATTTCTTGCCTCTCATCCTCTTCTCTAGGATCAAGTCTCTCTCTGCAGCGTTGAGTTGGCGGTAGATGGCCTGGGTCTTCAGCACTTGGAGATAGTTGTCACTCATGACCTTGTAGACCGCTTCTTGCAGATCCTTAAGTTTCTGCTTCTTGGCCATACACAAGACCTGGTAGCAGTTCCCCAAATCTAAGTGCACATCGAGAGAGGCGTCTGAGCTCAGTGGGACATGGAAAAATTTAGCACCAGCCACAAGCTCCACCGATGGCTCTTCTCTTCCACTGCTGGGGAGATTTTGCATGGACCTCACCAGAGATGAAGTAGAATCCAAGCGAAGAGGAGCTGGAGGTGAGGTGTGGCCAGCTGAGGGTCCAATTGCTGGAGAACCAAAACCTTCCATCGGCACCTGTAACTCTGGATTATCTACAATTCTTTGGAAGCTCTCTTTCCGGATGAAGCTATATCTAGCCAACAAACGTTTCGAGGAGTTGTTGTCTTCTTCAACAACGACTGCTTCTCTTTGGTCCTTAGGTTGGGTGTCTTTTGCAGGACTGAGGAGAACATGAGAAGATGTGTCTGGAACCTTCTCCAAAACAAGCTTGTTGACTTCATCTTTGGTCACCGATGAGCAGACAGGTTCCTCCGCCTCACATTTCTTGGATGCATTAAGGATGTTGACAGTCGAGAGGTTGCAGGATCGTTGGAGATCTAAGTTGGTCCCAAAGGTGGTTTCATTAGTGACGGATTGAGAAGTAGACTGAACATAGTAGTCGTAGACTTTGCCTCTCAGTTGAGTGTCTCCGGCTTTCCCGGAACGTCGCTTCTCTTGGATGAAGTTCTCCTCCACCTCCACCTTGGCCACCGAGGAGAATGCATAGGCCAGGTGAGATTGCACGTGGCTGTGGTTGATGGCCAAGCCCATATCACTGGTGGCATAGAAGGACTGGATCTTCTCGGGGCCAAACCACCTCTCCACAATATGGGGACCTTTTCCCAGCTGCTGATTTCCTCCTCTTTTCAAACCGTCTGCGGGATGGACATCCTTCTCCGCCGGCTTAGCACAGCTAGAGTCAGCTTCAACAGGATCAACAGCCCAGCCAGGGATGTTACTGGGTTCCCTCACTTGGTTGAGTAGACCTACAGCAGCTTGGGAATGACCTCCTAAATTGTCCGAACCGGCCCCAGTTTTGCTAGTGGAGTTCTGGATGGTGCAGTAGGTGTCCCCAGCCTCGTCTTCTGACCTCCACCCTTTTTCCACCCCAGATTCCGGATGGCTCACTTCCCCTGCCTCTTGTTTTTCTTCTGCCTCGGTTTCTCTCGTGTCGGGCAGCTCTCTGCCAGCAGGGATCCGAGCCTGCCCACACTCTTCCGCTACTCCGCCACATCTACCCACCTGCGTCAGCTGATTGGTCCCTGGGTGGCATGGCTCCGTCTCCCTGCCCCGGCCTCCTCTGTGCCTCAGCGCCGCTGGCTTGTTTTCCACCCGGCTGCAAACCTGCCATTCTCTTTGCTCTGCCCCGGCGACGTTGGCATCGGCAGCCCCGGCTGGGGTGCTGCCAGAAGGTACTCGAGACTTCAAATACCGGTAGGCCAACATCAGCAAGAGCAACGCCGTGGCCGAGAGGGCCAGTCGGCCGGCTAGAGGTATTTCCGACGGCTGGACCCCGCTTCCTTCGGCACGGTGGGGCATTTTCCCATACCAGGCTGGCATTCAAGAATGCGGTTAATAATTGCCCAGGAACGGCTCCGAATGAATCAGGGCGGGCTCCCTCCCTTCTCTGCAAGGTGACTCTAACCTGCCGACTGACAGGGAAAAGAGATTATTGTCCAGCTGCTCGCTCGGCGTGCCAGGTGTCTGTTTACTATAGGTTTGCATATTTGAGGAAGGTGGGCTGGGCCGGAGGCAGGTAAGACAAACCGGAAAGCGAAATAGCGAAAAAAAAAAAAGAAAGAGAGAAGCCGAAAACTCTGCTAAACGCTAAACGTTATTTTAAGCTTTCATACTATAAACGAGAGAGAGCTTTTGAAGACGGCGAGGAAATAAATAGATTTAAAAAAACAACTTACCTTAAAGTAAGGTAAGTCAGGTAATAAAAGGTAATAAAAATAATACTTTACCTTAAGGTAAAGTAAGGTAATAATATCTGTCTTTATTCCCATGACAGATTTCTGTTACAGATCCTGCTGTAAACCCCAGGCTCCTGTGCATACAGATAATCCTCGACGTACGACCACCATGGAGCCCCAAATTTTCTGCTGCTAAGTAGTACTGTTGTTAAGTGAATTTTGACCCATTTTGCCAGCTTTCTTGCCACCGGTTGTTAAGTGAAACGCTGCGGTTGTTTAAGCGAGTCGCACGGTTGCTAAGTGAATCTGGCTTCCCCCTCGACTTTTGCTTGTCAGAAGGTCGCCGAAAGGAGATCCCGTGACACACACACACAACCCCGGGACTCTGCGGCCGTCATAAATACGAGTCAGTGGCCGAGCGTCTGAATTTTAATCACGTGACCTCGGGGAACGCGGCCGTGATCTTAAATGTGAAAAACGGGCATAAGTCAACTCTTTCCAGTGTCATCGTAACTTCAAACGGTCACAAAATGAACTGTTATAAGTCGAGGACTATCTATTTTTTTCTTGGTTTTTTAAGGAACCTCAGATTTAGCAGGATTCCCTGTTTCGGTGGTGCAGTGGCTAAGACGCTGAGCTTGTCGATCCGAAAGGTCGGCAGTTCGGCGGTTCGAATCCCTAATATAGTTCTCCTGCGCGAGTAGGGGGTTGGGCTAGATGACCTCTGAGGTCCCTTCTGACTCTGTTCCTGTTACAGAATTTAAAGACGGTACCCAAAAACATTCTCCGTAAAAGATTCCCTGTTTTAATTCTGCTTGGAATTCAGCCTGAGTTTGTGTCTTTTTGAGCCCAACTTCATGCCAAAAATGAGCAGCTAGAAATGTATAAACAGGGCTCCAAATTTTTTTTTTTTGGGTTCCTTCTGCCTCGTGGCCAGAATGTAACCGACAACAGAAAATGCAGTTTGGTGCCGGTTCCAGGTTTTTATGACGCACCTTTAAACTTCTCCTTCTGTTCCGTCTTTCTCCGGCCAACGTGTTCTCATTCTTAGCAATGTAAAAAAAAAAAAAAAAACAGCACGGTGGAAAAACACAAGACCTGTGACACATTTCTGTTTGCACAACCAGCTCAGAGCTAGCAGGCAGATTTACGCAGCACATTAAGGTTCGGTTTAGTTTTAATCTCGGTTAGTCGCCATTTGCGGGTGGATTAAACCCAGGGGTGGGCTTCAAAAATTTTAGCAAGGGGTTCTCAGCCTGGTGGCTGGGTGGGTGTGGCCATGGTGGGTGTGGCCTAGTCCAGCGGTCACCAACCGGACCGGTGGTCCGCGAGAAAATTTGGGTGGTCCGCAGAAAAAATTATTTGCAGACTAAATCCGGGGTCCTCAAACTACGGCCCCTGGGCTGAATACGTGCAATGAATGTTTGTGTTGTTGCAGAGAGTCTCCCCCTTGGGGGTCTTTTTGTGTGGGTCGGAGGGGGGCAGAAATTCCGACTTGGGGGTCTGCTTCGGCCTCCTGGTGTGGGGCTTTGGGCAAAGGCTGGAGGGAAGCACCACTGATGGCGAAGAGCCGGAGGGCCTGGTTCCAGTGGGGCTGCATTATGGCCTGGAACTGGCTGACCATCTCAGCCCAGTGAGCCTCCAGGCAATGGTACCTGGCCTTGCACTCCCACAGGTCTTCCCTCTGCTTGGAAAGCCTATGCTCCTAGTCCTCAGTGAGGTGCTTCTGCTGAGCCTCCTCCTCGGTCAGATCCAATGTGAACTGAGCTGTTTTGCCAACTCTTTCTCGTGGTGGCTGCTCCAACAACTGCTCCCTGTTGGGGCCCTAAGGAGCCCAGGAGGGCAGGCGAGGAGTGGTTGGGAGGGGAGGGGCGAGTAGAGGCCGTCGAGGTGCCCCTCAACATGAATGACATCGAGTTGGCCACGCCCACCCAGGCGGTCATTAGGCAGATCATATTAATGGTTCACGGGATTTAAAATTATGAATTTAGTGGTCCCTGAGCTCCGAAAGGTTGATGACCTCTGGCCTAGTTGGCTTCCTGCATCGTGGCGGGGGGTGGGTGGGGTTTTTGCCCTCCCCAGGCTCCGGAGGCTTTCCTCAAACCTCTAAGAGGGTGAAAGTGGCCTCCCCAAGCTCCGGAGGCCCTCCGGAGGCCGGAAACTAGTAGGCACGAACTTCCGGTAGGCCCGTTTTTCGCCCTCTGTGAGCCTCCGCGTGCGGCCTGCACTTACCTGCATCCAAAATGGGTCGCGTGGGGACTCCTGGGAGGGGCCGGGTGGTAGGGGCCAGCCAGGAGTGGGATTTGGAGGTTCTCCGAACTGCACGGAATCTTAGCTAGAGGTTCTCCCGAACCCCTGCAAACCCCCAGCAGCCCACCATTGGATAAACTCCCATACGCTCCCATAGAGAGGGGCTCCTCCGGGTGCCGTCAGCCAAAACAATGCCGACTGGCGGCCCCCAGGGGGCACCTACTATCTGGAATGAGCTCCCCCCAGAGATACGGAAGATCCCGGATCTGCGCACCTTCCGCCGCGCTTTAAAGACCTTACTATTTCACCAGGCGGGCCTGGCCTAATTTTCTCCCTCTTTTATAAAAGATTTTTAATTTTTAAATATCTTTTAGTATTTTATACATTCAATTTTAAAATTGGTTTTAAAAGTTTGGGGTTTTAAATTTGTCGGGGCCAAAATTATTTAATTTGATTTTATTCTACTTTTAAATTTTGTATGTATGTGTTTTATTGTTTGGCTGTGCACCGCCCTGAGTCCTTCGGGAGTAGGGCGGTGTAGAAATCAAATCAAATCAAATCAAATCAAATCAAATCAAATCAAATCAAATCAAATCAAATCAATAAATAAATAAATAAATAAATAAACAAACAAACTGTGGTACCATGCCCTTCGCAAAAGCAGAAAAACCACCTTAAAACCAGGTTAAGCTCGTGTTGGGATCCTAATCCGTTTCTGCCCGTTGCTGCGGTTTGATGCTCCTTTGAAAACGATCGTGGCTTGTTTATTTATTTATTTATTATTAAAATTTTTATGCCACCCTTCTCCCGAAGGACTCGGGGTGGCTCACACAAATAAAACACCACCACCACCACCACCTAAAACCAATATCAAAATTAAAATCCCCAAAATTAAATCCTCATAATTGATCAGGGAGTTTGCGGGAACAGCCAAGTCTTACCTGTTTGTCTTCGGTTTATGCTTCCGGTGATGAATTGCCTCTTAGAAACTCGGAGAGATTACACTTTCTCGTCCATTTGTGCGGTGCGCCGGCGAGCGGGTTATGAAGTGGTCTAAAAAAAGATTTTCCGTGTAAATATTGCTCAGTCGGCAATGCCAGAGCGGCTTCAAACATGTTGTTTCACCCGAAGCGTGAAATAATTACAGATGTAGACGGTGCAATTAACTTTTTTTTTTTTTTTTTTTACATTAGTTCCAAAGCAGGGCTTAACGGATGCCTTCCCGTTCCATCCAAACGGGGGCCGAGAAAAATGAGCTACGGCCGTGGGTTTTTTTTTTTTATGTTTTTTGTTTTTAATGTAAAAAAAGAGAAAAGATTCCAGAAGAGAAGAGAAGAGAAGGGGGGGGAGGAAGGGGGAAGAAAAGAAAAAGCTGTCAAGACAAGCACCGAACAAAATCATTTTGGGGGCTGTCAGTCCGAATTTTCATCCTGAGGTTTCTTTTTCTCTCTCTCGGGAGCCTAAACAAGGAACTTAAAATGAAGAGTGGTATAAAACACGGTTTTAATTTTTGTAGGTTGGCATGTAGGGGAGAGGGCCCAAGAGGACTTACTCTGAGAAAAAGAATTCTACCAATATAGCTGCCAAAATGCCCTATTTTTAAGAATTAATTTTGGGGGGGAAAGGCAGTGGTGAAATCCAATTTTTTTTTTACTACCGGTTCTGTGAGCATGGCTTGGTGGGCTTGGCTTGGTGGGCTTGGCAGGGGAAGAATACTGCAAAATCTCCATTCCCACCCCACTCCAGGAGAAGGACAATGCAAAATCCCCATTCGTTCCTCACTTCTGGGGGAAAGATACTGCAAAATCTCCATTCCCACTCCACACCAGGGGAAGGATACTGCAAAATGAGGACCCGGTTTGTGGGGGCAATAAGCTGACTTTGTATAAAATATACAAAAGTATGAAGGCTATTGCTTAACGCATTGTAAGCCGCCCTGAGTCTCCGGAGAAGGGCGGCATATAAAAATAAATTTTTTTAAAAAATCCCCATTCCCTCCCCACTCCTGGGGGAAGGATACTGCAAAATCCCCATTCCCTCCCCACTCCTGGGGGAAGGATATTGCAAAATCCCCATTCCCTTCCCACTGCAGGGGAAGGATACTGCAAAATCTCCATTCCCTCCCACTCCAGGGGAAAGATACTGCAAAATCCCCATTCCTTCCCCACTCCAGGGGAAAGATACTGCAAAATCCCCATTCCCTCCCCACTCCAGGGGAAGGATACTGCAAATCCCCATTCCCTCCCCACTCCTGGGGGAGGATACTGCGAAATCCCCATTCCCTCCCTACTCCAGGGGAAGGATACTGCAAAATCCCTATTCCCTCCCCACTCCTGGAGGAAGGATACTGCAAAATCTCCATTCCCACCTCACTCCTCTCCCCCAAAAATTGAGAGGTTTTTTTGCTAATAGCAAAGGGAAGGTTGGTAGTCCCTGTGTCAACCCTGAAGCTGACCTAACCGAGGCCATTTTGAGGCCTTTTCAGTGTTGCCACCCTGGAGCTGAGGGATAGGGAGGGGGGAATAAGAGATAGCTGGGGTTTGGTAGCCAAAGCAAAAGACTTTCTCTTGGGAACCAAGGACATTTCCACAGGTGACCGGATGGAGGAGGAGCCACGTTACTAGGCAACCGGACGGAACCCTGATTGGACCATGTGAACTGACTGACTGGGGAAGGGAGAAAACTTTTGCTTTTAATTAGGTGAAAACCGCAGGAACCTCCAGAGTCGGTTTTCACCAGAACTGTGCCAATATGATATATCCAATAAAACTGTTCTTTGAGGAATCTACCTGCCTCGGAGTTCTGTTCGCTATAGGTGTATTACTTGGAACCCTGACACCTTGACTTACGTTTGTTTAGTGACAACAGCCCTGAAAAAAATGAGTTACGACCATTTTTCGCACTTACGACCCACGCAGCGTCCCTCCCACGTTCACGTGATCAAAATTTGGGCACTTGGACAACGGACTCATCTTTATGACGGTTGCAGTGCCCCTCCTTTTGCGACCTTGCGACACGCAAGTCAGATTCACTTAACAAAGGTGTTACTAACTTAACAACTGCAGTGATTCACTTAGTAACCGTGGCAAGGAAAGTGGTAAAATGGGTCAACATTCGCTTAACCACGCTGTCAGTTAGCAACAGAAATTCTAAGCTCAACCAGCGAGATTGGCCAGGATGTTTTTGAATAGGTCTCCGAATTATTGGAGGTGTGGACACAAACAAGGGACATTCTACCACATGTGGTGGACCTGTCCTAAGGTTAGGAAATTTTGGGGCAAGATTAAAAAATGGCTGGATGAAATAACAGGGCAGAAGATAGAAAGAAAGCTGGAACTGTTTCTCCTGAGTATTCTGGAAGGGAAAATGCAGAAAAATATACAATATATTACACATACTAACAGCAAGTAGAATTGTGATAGCACAAAATTGGAAACAACCAGACATCCCTCCAGATCAAATCATAATAAAAAAAATATACGAATGTGCAGAGATGGACAGATTATCTATGGAAATGAAGGAGAGGGAGGACGCCGAGTACTATTTAATATGGAATAAATGGTATTCCTGGCTGGAGAGTAAAAGATAAAATTTAAGGGATGTTTTTGTTATGAGATCGAATTGTAAATAGAAATCAAGATAATTTAAACAAAGATGTAAGTTTAAGATAGAGATATTTAGAAGTAGAATTTGTGCAAAGACGCTAAATAGATTAGAGATATCGATGCAGAAAAGTTGTTATTAGTATTGAAATTTTGATGGTTGTTTATATTTTTGGGGGGTTTGGGGGGTTTTTTCCTTGTTTTTTTGTGTGTATTATGGTTCTTTTTGTACTGTGTATTTTATTCTTTGGAAATTTAATAAATATTATTTTAATAAAAAAAAAGAAAGAAGTTCTGGGTTCCATTGTAATCCGAGAGCCAAAGCGGAACAAGGATGATTCGATGCAAGCTTGGAAATTGTTTCTCCCATCACGTGGCTGCCACGTGGGTGGGGGGCACTCAGCAAGGCTCTTTTGGTGGGCATTCGAGAGGGCTCAGCCATTGTGCAGCTTAAGATATGCAGCCAGGCAGTGCAAAGCATCAAACATTTTGCGGTAATTTTACCCCTGGTGCAGCAAGTAGAAAAACAGGTTCCAATAAGCCTTAAGTCAAACATATACCTCCCGTCTCCAATTTCCTTCTAGATATCCTGGTGACTCAGGGCTGGAGACAGGTGTACTTATTCTAATTTCACCCAGGTTGAGAGGCACCGGAGGCTGCCAAGGCATTTCTGCTCCGGGGCGGTCCATGAAGGGCGAATTCATCAGTACCGCCGTGTCTTTGCCAAGCCCAGTTGCAGGGACTTGGCACGAGCTTTTCAGCCAACAATTCAGTTCTTGCAGTGACTGGCAGCGCCTTGACACTCTCCTGGCCTAAGCCCACTCGGCTGATTTGCCCGGGGAATCAAGATTTGTTGCAGGAAAAAAAGATAATAACAGCAAAAAAAAGAAAACTTCAGTTGGTCCAAGCAGACTCAATTTTAGCCAACTATAAAGTGAATTGTCTTCCCTGGATGTGTGGCGTCGTTGCTTGGTTTCGGAGCGAGACAGGGTGCCAGCAAAATAAACGCAGCTTTTTAACTTCTCCGGAGGCAAGTGTGGCTAGCCTTAGGGTGGAATCCGTTCTTAGACCCATTTTTACAGACAGGAAAAAACGAGGCCACGTATTGCCCCAAAATCCCTTTTCATGGATGGTTTTCAAGGCAGGGAAAAAACCTCAAGATATTCTGCTGGGTTTCGTCTAGGAGGAGAAAACTTTGGCAGCCAAAGTTAATATCAACTTGATACCATGTTTCCCCGAAAATAAGACTGAGTCTTATATTAATTTTTGCTGTCAAAGATGCATTAGGGCTTATTTACTGGTTAGGTCTTATTTTGGGGGGAAATACGGTACTAAATGCACCCATCCAGCTGACAATCTTAACTGGGGCTTATTTTGGGGGTAGGGCTTATATTACGAGCATCCTGAAAAATCGTGCTAGGATTTATTTTCCGGTTGGGTCTTATTTTCGGGGAAAACAGAGTAGCTGTTTTAAAAAAAATTGTAATGCAGAAAGACAAAACGGACACGTTCGACATTTTCATTACATTTCATTATTTTCGCCGGAGAAGTTAGTTAGCTCCAACAGACCCCACACAGCAGGTCACAGATCTAATCATATGCTAAAAGGCCATTACTTGTCATCTTTCAATAAAAAGGCTCCTCAAATTGTTGTTGTTAGTTGCAAAGTCATGTCCGACCCATTGCGACCCCATGGACCACATTCCTTCAGGCCTTCCTGTCCTCTACCGTCCTCCGGAGTCCATTTAAGCTCACGCCAACTGCTTCGGTGACTCCATCCAGCCACCTCGTTCTCTGCCGTCCCCTTCTTCTTTTGCCCTCCATCGTTCCCAGCATTCGGCTCTTCTCCAGGGAGTCCTTCCTTCTCATTCGGTGGCCAAAGGATTTGAGTTTCCTCTTCAGGATGTGGCCTTCTAAAGAGCAGTCAGGGTTGATCTCCTCTAGGACTGACCGGTTGGATGGCCTTGCGGTCCAAGGGACTCGCAGGAGTCTTCTCCAGCACCAGAGTATAAAGGCCTCCATTCTTTGGCGCTCAGCCTTCCTTTTGGTCCGACTTTCACAGCCATCCGTTGCAACTGGGAAAACCGTAGCCTTGACTATACGCTCTTTTGTTGGCAGGGTGATGTCTCTGCTTTTTAGTAAGCAGTCTAGATTTGCCATGGCTTTCCTCCCCAGGAGCAAGCGTCTTTTAAATTCCTTGGCTGCAGTCCCCATCTGCGGTGATCTTGGAGCCCAGGAAAATAAAATCTGTCACTCCCTCCGTTTCTTCCCCATCTATTTGACAGGAATTGAGAAGGCTGGATGCCATGATCTTCATTTTCTTAATGTTGAGTTTCAAGCCAACTTTTGCACTCAAATATCTTTCTCCAACTTTAGAACAATGCCTGTACTTTGTTTTTTTTCCCCTGGAGACTGCTCCT